GAATTATGTTCTTAGTGTCCATTTATTTCTTGTAGAACTATAGAGTGCGACTCCATTGGTTTTCATTAAATAAGCTATTTCAGATGGTGGCCATATTGAACTGACAAAATGGCCTCCGCCAGAATAATGAAATCACTACCCATGTTCATCAACTCGGTGGCTTCCTTAGATAAATAACGTTACTAATTGATTTTTAGTATGAAAATGGTGGATTGCTTTCTCCGGGTTGGGAGTGAGGTTCTGCCTCAAGAGTTCAAGTATCTCTGGGTTTTTTCACGAGTGAGGGAAGAATGGAGCGTGAGATTGACAGACAGAGTGGTGCAGCGTCTGCAGTATTGCGGACTCTGTGCCGGTCTAATGTGGTGAAGGGGGAGCTGAGCTGTAAGGCAAAACTCTCTGTTTTGACCATTCCATACATTCCTACTTCCTACCCTCACCTATGGTCATGAACTTTGCGTAGTGACTGAAAGAATGAGATCGTGGGTACAGGCGGTTGGAACTAGTTTCCTCTACAGAGTCTCCCTTAGAGACAGGATGAGAAGTTCAGTTATCCGGAGAGACTCGGAGTAGAACCGCTGCTCCTCCACATCGAGAGGAGCCAGATGAGGTGGTCCAGGCATCTGGTAAGGATGCTTCCTGGGTGCCTCCCTAGTATGATGACTAAATTTCTGACATTAAATCTGGGGACATTTCCAGCTCGGAGACAAAAAAGAATAAAATGTTATCAAGATGAAGTTAAGAGATGGGGACAGTTACAGTTTCATTTATTTTTTTACATATTTATTCATGTTTAAACAATAAAAATCAAATGTAGCAGCAGGAACGTATCTCTCAACACACACATATCCTAAGAGTAATAAAACAAATAAAGTAATAGTAGTAGTAATAGTAGTACTCTGTCTGAGGAGCCATCAGCCATGGTACCATGGAAGTCAGGATAGAATAACAGCAGAGAAGGTTATGTGCAAATAATAGTAAAGTTTTGTTTTCTTCTTTCAGCTCCTCCCTTGTTCAGGAGTCGCCACAGCGAACTAACTCGCACGAAGACTTGGCGATTGTTTTTATGTCGGATTTCCTTCCTGACACAACCACAGACCACCGAGCTACCACAGCCCTCTGTGTGGAGCACAGAGCTGACATAGGGTTCCCAGGGGAGCAGATGGTGGGGCTTAAGGGCCTTGCTCAAGGGCCCAGGGTGGGGCAGGTGTGGGTGTTTCACCTTTCCCACCCACATTTTGATGTTGTCTGTCAGGGGAGTTGAATCGGCGACCTTCTGATCACAGGCCCACCTTTTCTAACCTTTGCGCCACCACTCCCCGCAGATAATAGTAAAGTGAAATACTTAAAAATAAGAAATAAGACACAATTAGGAAATAGGCTACCTATTCTTTGTATTTGCACTTCCACTAATTTCATGTTGTCACTTGAAAACTGCCTCTAATTATTTAACTAGTTTCCTCCACAGATGAAATGACAAAAATCCTATATTTTAGCTAAATCTATATTTATTTGGAGCGCCAATAGAACAGAAGAAATGCACATTTGAGTAGATCTCAGTTCTTGCTTCATTCAGTTTCTGTCACTGAGTAACTTTCATACGTCCAAACTGAGTAAACAAATACACCTCAGCCCTATTTATTTATTTTTTATTTTTAACTGGGCGAAACATTTCCTACCACGAACCAAACGTTTATCACGACTAGGTTTGGCCCAGTTCAAACAAAATAAACCGGTGCACATGTATGTCACAGGAGAGCTCCCTGTTGATGGTGACAAGTTTGCACTGCGCTTCTTCTTCTTCTTCTGTTTTAAAGGTGGCACACTTGGCTCTTCTTCTTCTCTGTCTGTAACGTTAACAGCAGTGCGACCAGCTACTGTAATAGCTCACGCAACATACTTACTCACTCTTTCTACCCGGCTACTATAATAACATTGTACGCGCAATATTTTTTTTCTCATTCATAAAACGCTAAACTCAGGGACATCTTTAGCCAGGGACAGGTCGTCCAAAACGGGGACTGTGTCTGGAAATTGGGGACATCTGGTCACCTTACTCTCTAGGGAGGTGCTTCGAGCATATCCGACTGGGAGGAGACCCCGGGGAAGACCCAGGACACGCTGGAGAGACTAGTCTCTCTGTTGGCCTGGGAACGCCTTGGGCCCGCCGAGAAGAGATGTTTGGGCCTCCGTGTTCAAGCTGCTGCCCCCGACACCCGATTGATAATGTTGATGGATGGAGACTAAAATGGCGGCCATGGCGCTGACATCTTTTATACTTTTTATCTTGTCTACAGGGTAACTAAACAACTGAAGCAATACTTGTCTGTGTTTGTGTTTGATTTGGAAACCAGCACGGTGGGTTAGCGGTTTTAGCCTTCAGGCCTAGGCCTCCCTCGAATCAGATCTGAGATCTCAGTGGGAATCAAATACATGTTGATAAATATTTCATCAAAGTTCATGTTCAATAATCCAGGTAAAAAATTCATCAAAGTTAAGTCAGGTCCTCTGCGTTTTGTTGAAACGTTTCGTCTTTCATCCAAAAAACTTGGCCAGTATGAGTAGCCACAACAAACTCAGTCTTGTAAACAGTACCTTCACATAGTGGGTCGACCAGTTAGATGGTTCTCAGATGGTTTCTGGATCTGGTTGGAATGTCATCCATGTGGCCAGAGTGGCCCATCTGTTAATTAGATTACCAAAAACCTTAACAAACCCTTACTGTGAGGTGCGATAGGTCAATCTGCATATCTCTGTATGTATGTATCTTACTCAGCTTTATATCTCGAACCCCACACTCCCTGTTCTTTGAACTGAGAAAGCTTCTCGGATGAGAAGCGGAACGTCTTCTGTTATAAATAAAGTCCAGTTGTTTTTGTCTTGAACTTTTTTGAAATCTCAGACGGTTTCTGACAGTTTGATTGTGCAAACCGATTGTTGCAGCAGCTGTAGTGGCTGGCCTCAGACCATCTTGGAGGTGGACACGCTGGACGTGGAGGTCCTGGGCTGTTGTGGTTACACGTGGCCTGTGGTTGTGAAATGGCTTTAGAGATGGCTTATTGTAGAGAAATGAACAGCTCCCTCAAAACTTGCTGTGTGATTAAACTGCACATTTTAGAGTGGCCTTTTATTGTGGTCAGCCTAAGGCCCACCTGTGCAATAATCATGCTGTCTAATCAGCACCTTGATATGCCACACCTGTCAGGTGGAGTCATTCATTCATTCAACCTTTATTTATACAGGTTAGTCTCAAGGACTCATTTAGAGAGACCTGTTTGGATGGATTAGGTTGGCAAAGAATTGCTCACGCAGATTTACACACGTTAGTGAACAATGTTTGAGAGAAAAAGGTCTTTGAGTGTATAGAAAAAGTATTAGATCTTTGAATTCAGCTCATAAAAAATGGAAGCAAAAACAAAAGTCTTGATTATAATTTTGTTCAGTGTATTCATTTAGCTTTAGCTTCAAGTCAGGGCTACAATGGAGTTGCAGTTCTTGCTAACATCCAGGAGATGGAGGTCTTGGTTTCTGGTCATTGAGACTGTGTATGGGTTCACATTTTTATTTATATATATTTGAGTATTTATTGAAAGAAAACCAACCAGTACAATAAAATGCAGTAAAGTAATAACAGCCACCAGGGGGTTACAAACATTGAGACAATACTTTACAATAACATATTACATAAATACATTTAAAGACAGCACATAAGGTGCAAGTTTTAATGGTCTTCGGTGGAATATTTAATAGTTTTCATATATTACTTGACCTCATTTTTAAAAATGTAGATAAGTGGTTTTTGATTAGTGTAACGGCATTTGTGAATATGCCATGCATTAGGCTAGGTATATAAGATTAATAATATAGAATAGTTTTTTGTTTTTTTTTGTCAATGAAGCCAAACAATACATGTTCAAAGCAAAGGCAATCTGGCTCAATCAAAGCAGAGATCAAAATGCAAATACTTTTCCAAAATTGAGTTGAGCAGGGTCAAGACCCAAATAAATGAAAAACATCTGATGGGTTTCCTTCACAAAAAGAGCAAAATTATATTTATATCCTTATTAAACTGTTGTGAATAGAGCTTGGATGGGTAAAATCTGTGAATAATTTTAAATTATACTTCTCTTACTTTATTATTTATCATGTATCTGGTTGGTGAAGTCCAAATCCTTTTCCAGTTAAGGTTATTAATAAAGCTGTTCCAATAAGGTACCACATATGGAGTTGACGCAACGCATTTCTGAAATAGTGAGCGTATACGACGTTTGCTATTATGAGTTGAAGAGAAGCAGATTTTACCAATTTCAAGTTTAGTTGGATCAACGGGTAATAGTGTTGGATTCTGTCCTGCTGTACTTCTAAATAAAATAATTACTCCAGTAGGGACTGCATTTATTGCAATATTACATTTGTTAATAGGGATCATAATGTTATATTTTATGACATATTCTTGATATGACATTAATGATCCATCAGGGTTGAGCAACTGACGAGCTAAAACTATGCTGTTGTGAGTAAACCAGTTAGGGTAAAATAAGGATTTGTTTTTCATGTAAGATATCTTTATTGTTCCAAGTATAATATCTGTGTGGGGAGAAATTATCCTTGTAAATCAACGACCAAGAGTGAAGCATCTGTTTATGAAAAGTGGATAGTTTTGAATGGACTTTCTCAACATTATCAGAGTCTCTTTATTGTCGTTGAAACGAGATTATGTACAAAGGGTCCCAGTTACATCCAACAATAAAATATAAAAGAAAAAGAGTAATAAGATCTAAGATAAGAAATAAGAAAAACATCAACTAAATATACACAAAGCACTAATAGCATAAAAACAACACTATATTATATTATAATACTACTAATACTATATTATAATTGCAAAATAAAAAGAAATTTAGGCCTCCTAGGGAAAATAAAGTTTGGTATTTGTATGTGTTCGCATTAGCCAATCGGTGTTTCAGACCCGCCCACTTCCGGTCCCGCCCCGTTCCGCAGCCAGGGGCTCTGTCGAAATAAAACGGGAACCCCTTCAGTTCTTCCTTCGGCCTGTTGGAGGTGTGGAGCGGACGCCATCTTGAGGGCACCCTAAATGCCTCGTTTGTCTGGCGGGCGGCTGATCACCGTCTCCGGCGCATCATGAGGGGATCATCTACTTCCAAATAAAACAGCACCGCCACAGTTTTAGGTTGCAGGCTTCCGGGGAGGACTAAGACGAGCCGCCCGGTGACAGTCCATCATCCCTGCGGGTTGGTTTTAACCGAAGGCGGCTCCGCTGTGGCCCGATGGCTGGCTAGCCGCTCGGGAGGAGGAAGGGTGGTGACGGCGCAAAATGCTCCGCCGCTGACTCCCCGACAGCACGAATCATCCAACGCGCAGGCTCGCCGACAGTTGGACGGCCGACCACGATGAGCCCGTAGATTAAACCGTTGACACGTCGTCGAGTTTGTTCCGGTTTGTGTTGAGAGCGAGCATCATGTCATCCAACAGCACCAGCGCGGCGGCCGTCAGCGCCAGCAAAACCAAGACGAAAAAGAAGCATTTTATAGGACAGAAGGTGAAGTTGTTCCGTGCGAGCGAGCCCATCCTCAGCGTGTTGATGTGGGGTGTCAACCACACGGTAAACGCTCCCTCCACCTCCTTTTCCCCGCTTGTGTTTTGCTTTTAGCTGCCTCGTTAGCCAGCTGCTTTCATCTGTCAAACGCTCGTGCATTCTTATTTGTCCGTGGATGTTGGTGTTCACGCGTGTGCTCGTGCCGGTCGCTGCTGTGCTGGTTTCCAGTGAGCTGCAGTGGTTTTTTTATTGGGACTTTGCTGCATTTTTTTTTTTTTTCTTTTTGCGACGATGAAGTTCGCTTCCGATTCGGCCCAAGTTTAAAATATCCGTTTAGCTTCTTTTTGGTACCGACTCCACCTCAAAACAAGTCCAGATGAAAATGCGCACCCAGAGGCTGTATTTGGACCGTGTTCTAGGCTGGTGTGGGCTCAGAAAGCGTGCTAGTGGTACCGGTTAGGAATCCGTTAATGCGAAGCCAACTTCGACCTGCAGGAGCCTCAGAAAATCTGTAGGATCTATGGATTATAAATCATCTGTGCACAGGGCTGGATAATCTGCTGCCATCTCAGATTATGGGTTATGAAGGGCTTTTCATTGCTGATGCGAGCTGCAGCTCTTGTTGCAGGCTCGCTGTGGTTGGGATGTGACAGACACATCTTCATTATAAAAACCTGCTCAGATATTTCGTGCAGGTAGCTCCACCATCCATTTGCTGCACTTCATTCCGTTACATCATTTTACTATAAATAGAGCAGGAAAAGAATCTCACATTCACATTTGGCTGATGCTTCTTGTTGCTATGAAAAGCTCTGCGAGAGGCAGGTTGGACCCTGGATGATGGATGGGTTGGGTTGCACGAGCAGTTTGGATCTGGCCTGACGTGCAGTAACTGTTGCACTCTTGCACAGATCGACGGATGCGTGAAGAACCGCATCTTAGGCCAGATTACTGAGCAGACTTATTTAAAGAGGGTCTTCCTGGCTTTCATTCAGATTTAAAATATAACGACCAGAACAGAGTTGGGACACTGTAAGGTGTAATAATAATAAATAAATAAAAAACAAATGATTTGTAAATCTCGTAACTCCATATTTTATTCACAGTAAAACACGAGACCAGTTGTTGATGGAGGTTTCCAGCTGTGTTACAGTCCTGGACGGGAGCAGATGTTTTAAAACCTGTAGATGTATTCCTGCACTGATGGAGCCTTTCCAGATAAGCTGCTCATGCCAGAGGCACTAATGCACCCCCATACCATCAGAGAGGCAGGCTTTTCAACTGTGAGCTGATAACAGACTGGATGGTCCCGCTTTTATCTTTGCTGCAGTTATTTTCGACTAGAACTTCAGATTTGGATCTGTCTGTTGTCAGAACAGTTCTGGACTTCACCTCAGTCCATTTTAAGCGGCAGCCGTTCTGGATGGTGTTCACATCTAGCTTCTTTGCCTGATAGAGCTTTAAGCAGCATTTGTAGATGAGCTGTGTTTACAAAGATCTGTGGAAGTGTTCCTGAGCCCAGAACCAGACCTGGTTTTACTGCAGGAGCCCCGAGCGCCTGAAGATCACGACCTTCATCCTCGTCCTTTGAGCTCAGATTTCTACGAATTCTTCTAATCTGGTGGTGAGATTATGAACTGGAGATGATGGAGATCAAGTCTTTGTTGGTGATGAAACAATAAAACGAGACACAAAATGACCATTAAAAAAACTTCAAAAGGCTTAAATAAGATGAAAAAACTCAAAGTTGAAGAAATAAACCTTTCTGTTAAAGAATAAACGTTTAAATTAAGACATCGGTTAAAGACTCTGAACAGATTAAATTATGTTTGTTTTGTTTCCAGTCGAGTCGCGTGTCTTTTTATTTATGCGGCTGAAGACGACCCAGTTTATTGATTTCAATACGTTTTATTTAGCGTTCCCTGTTTTGAATTGAGGTTCGGGGAACCGGGTTTGGGTCGGCGGAACTGACGGAGTTCCAGCGAGCAGAAGTTTGAAAACGCGTCGCTGCTTGGGAGGACGTAGCGTCGAGTCGCAAAACGAGCGTTTCTGACTCTTCGCGTTCAGATTTTGGGCCCGTTGGGCCTTAAAGTGAGGCTGCTGCTGTTCTTCACCCACGAAATAAAGATTCAATCAAAACTTATGTCATATTTATTAAACAAGTGTTCCTCACTCTCTGTGTGGACTTCAGGGTCGGAGAGTCTGCTGGATCAGAACATGAATGTTTGTACTTGAACTATAATTTATTGCTCACTCATTGTGAAATATTGTTCAGCTTCATATTTAACTATAAAAACTTGTTTTCATGCAGCGTCTCTGCTGTCAGACCTCCAGTTTTCTCTCAAACCCCCGCTGAGTGCACACCCAAACTCCTCGGCTTCCATTGTAGTTGAGCTTCAAAACAGGAAGTTGTAACTTCTCATTTCTCCCACATAAAACACTGGAGACGCGAAACACGACATGAACCATGACCGAACACTTCTGCCACTGTTAATTCAGGAATATTCCCAAAATAACATTTAGTTTTCACACAGTGACTGAAGTTTCCACTCTGTGTCTGCCTGTCTTATTCAGAGTGCGTTCTTTTCATTGTAGATTCTGACAAAAGGAAGTCCTGAAGTTTAGAAAAGGAAGTTTCAGAAACATTCTGGTTCTTTTCCTTGCTTCCACTGATGCGATAATGTCTTTAAATGTTATTTTTATGGGGTTTTTTTCTTCTTCTGGTTTTGAGATTTCACAATCGGACCACACACGAGGCCCTAACCGGGTCAGTAGTCCGCTGCTCAGAGGAGCGTCGTCCCGTTAGAGGAGGCGGCGCTGCAGATGAAGCGTTCCCGAGGCTTGAAGGCAGCAGCCGACGAAGCGTTTCCTGCTGCAGCGTCTTTGGTATTCAGCGGCCGATCTTCGGCTGTGTGGGCGCAGCGCGGAGATCTGGGGTGTGGGCGTCGCCCTCTTCTCGATGCATTTTTAATATTGTGACGCTGCAGTTTAGGAACGATGCTGTTGACAACACAACTCGGTTTTCACAAAAGTCTTTTGGAAAATGGTTGTTTATGTAGAAATAAAGGTTAAAATAGTCACTTCCTCCTCTGTTGGAGGTTATTTTCCTCAAATATTCTCACTGGGACTCTGATGACGTCCGTTTGTCGACTTGTTTTTGGGGATTCCAGTGATCCGTGACGGTTTCTCTGAAGTTTAGACGAGTCTGGATGCGTTTCTGTAAACATCAGTATGGACAATAAAACTCTCTATTTTGGTCCGATCCTTAATCGGTGGTTCTGGTAAAGTCCTGAAACATCGAGTCTGAGGAACAGAGTGGTGTTGATGGTAGTCACGGCCTTGGGTGGGAAACGTATGGCCCGAGGGCCAAAAGTGGCCCTTGGACAATCTCCATCCGGCCCCCAAAATTCTTAATTGAAAAGAAAACTTTTTAAAAAAGTTGATGAGAACTTCCAATTTTTATGAATTAAACTTAATGAAGTTTAAATTGAACACTTTAAGGAAAATGCTAAACCTTTTTTGTGTTTACGGAATCTTAACGATGCCAAAACTCAAACGTATAACTTTTATTTTTTCCATATTTAGGCAAGTATATTCTCACAAGATCCATTTTACAGTCTGCTATTTCTACAGTGTACTGGGGAGACATGTTTTTATTGAACAGGCTAACAAGCCACAACAAGAAAACGCCTGAAAATAAAAATTGAACGTCTAAATAAAAATGTATTTTGCAATTCTCTATGCGGCCCTTTGTTTACGTTAAGTACAGTAGCTGAGAGTGATCCCCAACACACATCCTGAGCACTGATGGTCTGAGCTATGTTGCTTTGACCCTCCTGCTGTCCTTGGGTCAAAATGACCCCCGAGGCCTCGTTTTTTACAGTTGAAACCTCATAAATTGCTGCATGAACTAATGAGGTCTACAGCTGATTGACTTCTTCTTCAACCCAATTCAAGATGGCTGCCACAGCTAACCAGCTTCAGCAAATACAAACTGTAATTCGGTCAGTTTGACAGATGTTGAGCTATGGTTCGGCGCGGTCGGAGCTGTTATTTTTAACTTTCAGAACCGTCGGACTCACTTGTTCCTCTGGTAGGACTGTTTGGACAAACTGATGAGCTCATCTGTGTTGAACATCCGCTTCCAGGACTCAGTTTTCTCCGTATAAAACCCCCCATCTCATCGGAGTTCAGAGAAAAGAACTCGCCGTTAACCAAAAACAAGGAGCAGAACAGACAGTTCTGTTCAGAGCAGGCGGTGCTCACGTTTGAAAAGTCCCGGAACGAGCTTATAAACGATAACTTGAAGAGTTTTGGCTGATCTGAGAGGAAAAGGGTTAAAATTTTACACGTTTGGACTCCACAGTCTGCTGCTGATCGACATTAGCCCACTCAAAAATGACAGAAACTCAGAAAAATCTAGCTAAACCACCGTTTTGTTTGACTGCAATCGTGAAAACAATAAATAATTGACTTTTGTTGTGTTTGTCTTGTGTCTCCTCCAGATTAATGAGTTAAGTAATGTGCCTGTACCCGTTATGCTGATGCCAGATGACTTTAAAGCCTACAGTAAGATCAAAGTGGACAACCACCTATTTAACAAGTAAGTCCATCAAAAATAACCATCTGAATTTGAACACAAACATCACGGACAACAAAATAAAGAAAAGATGTCAGTCATTTAATATTCTACCACATACACATAGTCGTGTCACGGAGACAACAGGTCCAGAAGAAAAACCCAGACCTCCCTCTCCTCAGAGTTTGGAGTCTCTTCATAGTGGGCCGTGCCAGGAAAACCTCCAAATGGAGGCGTCCTGATCAGATTAACCTCCTCAGTTGACTCCTTTCGATGCAGAGGAGCAGCACCTCTACTCTGAGCTCCCCCATGATGATGGCACTCCTCACCCTCTCTAAGGCTGAGACACCCCCCCCCCCCCCCCCATGTAGGAAGCCCATTTCAGCTGCTTGGATCCAGGATCTGGTTCTTTGGGTTCTTATCTAAACCTCATGACCACAGAGGATGGTTTAAACTTAGACAGACCAGAAAATCCAGAGCTTTGCCTATCGACACAGCTCTTTCCAACTGGAGCAACACCCTCGTTACTGAGGACGAATACCTGTTGACATCCGTCATGCTTTTATTTTGTTGGGTGAACCATCTTTGGATCCTGACTACCCAACCAGCTGACTCTGGGTTGGTCAGATACAGAGAAGTTGCTCTTAAGTGGCTGAAAAACGCACAATAAAAGAGGCGTCGTAAAAAGGACTTGTCTAGAACAGTTTACTCCAGACCGTCAAGGGAAAGGCACCGCCCATCTAGGCCGTGATAACCTGACCTTCATCCACAGGAAAACATCAGGAGGAAGATTTAAATAATATAAATGGTGGGAGGAGAGCGATCACCTGGTCTCCAATTGTTGGTCGAAAACCTCTCGTCGTTTATTCATTCCTGTTAACAGATTTGTGGAAATGAGTGTGACGACGACTCCTGAAGCTGTGTACGCTTGGAAGCTTTCAGGCTCTGTTTTTGGACAGAAGCCTGAATCAGTCAGATGCTTCATGGGTGAAAACTGCTTTAAAACGGCTAAAATAAACTTAAACTTTCAGTCAATCTTTATAAATGTTAACGTCAAAGTTCGGCTGTTGTAGCTTCTACAGCATTTGGCGCCCAGTGTGGGGCTCGAACCCCCTGAGTTTAAGAGTCTCACATTCTACTGACTAAGATAGCCAGATCGTGTAAAAGCTTTCATGCTGTAAATGTCAGCCTGGCATAGTTTCACTGATTTCGTAGGACGCAGACATCAGAAATAAACCCAACATCCATCAGCAAACGTCTTTTGTTCCTCCTTTATTGTCTTCCGTCCCAGAGCGGAAAAGACAAATTGAAATTACCGTCCATCCATCCGTTTGTGCACATTGTGAGCATGAAAACTTGGAAAAATAATTGAGGTACCAACTTCCATTTTAGTGTGTGGCTACAGTTAGGCATAAGAAAGGTTCCTTTTCATAACTGGGTTGCCAGGTCAAAATCCAAGATGGCTGTCACCATATATGTATGTCTGTTAAGCTTGTGAACTAGATAACTTGGTGGTGGGGGGAAGCAACGCACCAACTTCCATTTTGGTGTGTGGCTGCATAGGTGTAAGAAAGATTGCAAAAATTGGGTTGCTAAGTTGAAATCCTTATGTCCAAAACTTAAAACATTCACTGTTCAGATCCCTCAGCGACTGGGAGCTTCAGTGGTTTTGTTTCGTAAGGAACCCCTGAGTGTCTGTTTGTAACATTCTGTCTCTTCCCCGTCAGAGAAAACCTCCCGAGTCGCTTTAAGTTCAAGGAGTACTGTCCCATGGTGTTCAGGAACCTGAGGGAGCGCTTCTGCATCGACGACCAGGACTACCAGGTGAACTCCCTGTTCTTCACAGAAACATGAATAAAATACAGAACCAGGATAAATGTTGTGTTTTCTCCAACAGAACTCTCTGACCCGGAGCGCCCCTCTCAACAGCGACGCCCAGGGTCGCTTCGGGAACCGCTTCCTGACGAGCTACGACCACCGCTTCGTCATCAAGACTGTGTCCAGTGAGGACATTGCTGAGATGCACAACATCTTAAAGAAATATCACCAGGTAGAGCCGGAACCACTGCCGGCGTAAAAAGCATAAAAGCAATGAAGAATCAGAGTTTTAATCTGTTTTTTTCTGTCTGAATATTTCTCCCTCCCACACGCCTCCTCCGGTTGTTTCCAGTTTATTGTGGAGTGTCATGGCAACACGCTGCTGCCTCAGTTCCTGGGCATGTACCGGCTAACGGTGGACGGAGTGGAGACGTACATGGTGGTGACTCGGAACGTCTTCAGCCATCGCCTCACTGTGCACCGCAAGTATGACCTGAAGGTTCGTGACGCCAGAAAACCCTAGAGCTGATTTAGCAGCTGCTCAACTCTTCAAAGGTCAATTAAATCCTGAAAAACAGGTCGGACGACTCCGAAACGGGTCAGATCACTTTATCATCGGTCCTTAAAGGTGCTGGAATGAAAGTCTTTACAGTAACCTCACTTTAATACAGCCCGGGGGGAAAAACAGAGACTCCGCCCTCTTTTAGGCTCGGAGTTTTTAAATTTATTCAAATCCAGCATCAAGTGCACAAAAACAGAAAACAAATCAAATCCTGCTGCTTCCACAGAATCTCATCAGCTGTTCGTCATCTGCAGCTTCTGCTGCTCTCAGCATACAGATGTGTTAAAACAACACCAAGGTGGAAAGACATCAGCAAGGACCTTAGGAAAGCAGCTGTGGCTACCTTTCAGTCTGAGATGAGTCCAAGGTAACTTTCAGAGAGAAAGATTATTCAAGTGGAAAACATCACCCTGAAGGTCAGACCGTGCAGTCAGCTTGTCAAAGGTCACAACCTCTTCTCTCTAAAAACAACATGGCAGCATGATTTCTGGACCAGAACCAGACCAGAGGACAGATGTTTACCCAGAATACACTGCAGCAGACAGCCCCTCCCAGCTGTCAGCACGGTGGTGGAGGGCTCATGGTTTGGGCTCCTGTCAGTCTCTGAGTGGACTATGAACTCCTCTGTGGACCAAATAGTTCTGGAGTCCCAACAGCTGAAGCTGGAACCAAACTGGGTCCAACAGGACCATGGTCCCAAACACAGCAGCTGATCTACAACAGAACGAGTCAGACAGAACAGAACCGAGGTCCAGTCAGAGTCCAGTCTGCAAACCTCAGTGAACCAAAGCAGCGTTGGATAGAAGAGTGGGCCACAGTTCCTCCACAACCATAATTCAGTCTAATTTAAAACGAAGGTTTGACGTCTTTAATGTGACTCAACTTCTTATCTCACAATAAACACATAATTTACTTCAGAGAGATGCGGCTGTAAATATTCAGGACGTTCTAAAACCTCGTCACTAAAATAAACTGTGGGCTAGAGAACGAATTTTATCAGCACTTCCTGTTCTCCGACGACGAGAACGTTAAATTCTGACGGTTTAACGAGTAAAAACAGCAAACGCTGCTTCTGATTCGTCTTCTGCTGCTTTTCATTCTATTTTTCTTTTCTTTTAGGGTTCTACGGTCTCCAGAGAAGCCAGCGACAAGGAGAAGGTGAGTCTCTCCTCTGCTGACGCAAACAAATGAAAATAAACACCGAAGTCCACCCGTCAGCTGAAAGACCTGCGGCCTCATACGCGCCGAGTTTTATTTCAAGTTTTTGTGTCTCTAAAGTGCAACAAATGAGAATAAAATAAAAATCATCTGGCTGTAGAGGCAGAGCTGACATAAAACTAAAGTAGAAATGTCCCTTCAGGCCAAAGAACTTCCCACTTTTAAAGACAACGACTTCCTGAATGAAGGACACAAGCTGCAGATAGGAGACGACAACAAGAAGTACTTTTTGGAGAAGTTAAAGCGGGACGTGGAGGTAAGAAGCACTTCCTGTTTGTGTTTACAAAGCATCTCTGCTCCGTCACGTTTCAGCTGTTTTTGTAAATTAGTCTCTAAACTGCTCGTTTTTTTTAATTATTTCTGTCCGTCGTCGTGGAGCAAAGTGGACAATTGGAAAATCCTGTCCATTTATCCGTCTTATATATGTATACCGACAACCCCTAGCATTTGAGGAAACTGCTTTCTAGTTTTTATATTGCTTGAAATAAAGTTTAAATGTTTGAGGTGTCCTAAGATTAATCTATGGGGGCCATGGCCACCCCCTGGCTCCGCCCCTGCTGATGGATAAAACGTCTTCCTCCATTTTTGAGCCGCTCGTACAACAAACATTTGTTGCACCTTTGATATTTGATTCTGCAAATTTTCTCTCCATGCAAATACATCGAAAGACCCCGTTTTCCTTTTTCTAACTATTAAATAACGGGAGCCCCAAACGTCTTTCTCCACTGCCCCCGCGCCACATTCTTTTGTCTAAAAATCACTTCCTTGTTGTGCAGTCATGTGACTTACTAAGCTAATTTTTCTTCTTACTAAAATGTAACCGCTAATAAACTCTTAAAGAGCAGGTCGTTAAACATCAGCCATGTATCCACGAACAATAAATACGCCCGAAAGGAACGATTAATGGCGTCCGCAGAGAGAACGGGTCATTTGCTCACGTCGCCATAGAAACGTGCAAACAAAATCCGTTGCCGCCCCACTGAAGATTTTAAACGTTTCGGTCTCCAGGGTGACTAACGGCGAGGAAGCGTCGGTGCACATCAAATATGGGTCAGGTGTTCGTCAGTCTGGAGCAGCTGAATCTGTAAATGAATAAAGTTAACGAGCAGAAGTAACTAAATACTAAATAAAAACAAAAATATTTGATTTATTGTATTTCAATGTAAAATATGAGCTTCTGAAATGATCAACAGATTTATTATTCCTACTAATTAGAGAAATATTACTGCTGCCGTCTACAAAAAGTTCAAATTTCTAGTATCTTAAGTGTTATTCAGTGTTTTTATTTGTTTATTTACTAAAAACTTCTCAGATCTTTGCATGGTGGTGCAGTGTGTTTGTAAAAGTTCAAGAATTTAGGACCAAAAGATTAAAAACAGCAGATGAACAATATCTGACGTCTTTAAAGAAGCAAGAAAAAGAAACCAAATTAAAAAAAATAAAAAAAATCAAACGTCCAGTTTGTCAAACTTTGGTCCGTTTTAAAGATTAAAATGAAGAAACTGGCAACAAAATGTCTAAAGAGTCCAATCCAAGTTTTACTGTGGTTCACCCCTTGAGTTTAGTTTCTCCTCAGTGAGTCAGAAATGAACAAGAACAACTTTTCAAACAAGGATTGAAAATGTTTGAAAAGCAGCTGAAGTCCTCAGGGATGCTCGGGCGAACGACGTCAAAGCCTGAAATGTTTTGTTTCAGTTCCTGGCCACGCTGAAGATCATGGACTACAGCCTCCTGGTGGGCATCCATGATGTGGAGCGGGCCGAGCAGGAGGAGATGGACGTGGAGGGCGTGGGAGAAGAGGAGGACCTGGAGAACGACGGGATGGGAGGAGGCGTGCTGACGGGCTCCTTCGGCACGCCCCCCGACAGTCCCGGAAACCCGCTCAACTGCGGCGGCTTCTTCGGCCCCGGGGAGTTCGACTCCTCCGTGGACGTTTACGCAATCAAGAGCCACGACGGTGAGCGGGAGCGTCTGACTCCTCCGCCTCGTCCCGTTGGTTTGTTTTGGGTTCACGTGAACAGGAAGTGATTGTTGTTGTTTGTTCCAGGTGCTGGGAAGAAGGAGGTTTACTTCATGGCTATCATCGACATCTTCACGCACTACGACGCGAAGAAAAAAGCTGCACACGCTGCCAAAACTGTGAAACACGGGGTCAGTGAAAACACGACACGTTATTTGGTGTTTAATCTGTTCCGGTGACTAACTGAGACGTCTCAAAAACTGTTTTTGTCCCCCATCGCAAAAAAAAAAGGAGTGTGTGGGGATCCTCTCGTCTGTGTACATCGGGAGCGTGATTAATAAAAGAGGTAACAACTTCCGTTTTGGTGGGTTCCTCGATCTAGACCTGACAAAGGTTCCTTTCAAAACTGAGTTGCCACATCGAAATCCAAGATGGCTGCCGCCAGACACGTATGTGAGCTGGATAACTTTAAGAATCAATGAACCGACCTCCATTTTGGGGTGTGGCTGCAGCTAGACGTAGAAAAGTTCGCCATCAAAAATCATGTTGTCACAACAAAATCCAAGATGGCCACCTCTAAATAAATAAATGGAGTCGAGACCACCGCTGGTCAGAGCCGGTTAACTGGGTCCATTTGGTCCAGATCAGAGCTGCCAGGTGGATACGGGACGTCTTTTCTTGGCTGCGGGTTTTTCAACAAAAGCTTCGTCTGTCTCGTTTCACGTTCTGACGCGTTCTCCACGTCGAAATCAAAGATGACTGAAAAGTTCAAACCAGTTTTTCTCGACTTCAGACTCGGTCGTCATGAGAAGTTCGGACCAAAGAAAGTTTGGTCGATTTTAAAGTAAAACGAGAAGAGATAAAAAGCTGTTTCCAACAGAACCTCCAGACCCCGGCCCGTTCAGAGAACGTAGATCTGGAGCTGCAGACCATCAGTTCCCTCTCTGCTCGACGTTCTCCCCCCCACCTCTAATTCTACAAACGTTTCTCCGTCTGGACCGACGTCCAGCTCCAGATTTGTCGACTCGATGAAATCTGTTTTTAGATCAAACTAAAAGTTCACCCTGAGCTGCTGGAAGCCGTTTGCTCCGGTAGTTTTTCGGGTACGAGCTCGACACAAACGATTCTGTCTGCAAGTTTTACTCAACAAATCTGACCAGAACCGTCGGACTTCTGTGACCCAGAAGTCTTCTGTCGGCTTGTTTACAGTCCCTTCGGCTGTTTCTGTAGGTAAACAACTGCAGGGTGCAAGTTTAGCAGATTAAACAAAAATAATAATTTTTTTAAATTGGGTTTTGTTTTGTACCGTCGATGACGATGAGTAAAACGCGCTGACTGAATAACATTTTGTTCTTCGTTCCCGGCAGAACCGGACTGAACGTAGTTTTTTAAAGAATCGAGCAGGACCAGGTCTGCTTCTAAAGTCCAGATGTGGACCCAGCTGGTCCTGCTGTGGACTCGCATAATGACCGGTGCTCGTTAAGTTAACACGCCGGCTCACTGGGCTCGGTCTATTTAATGGAGTCTAACAGAAAGAAACCAGTTTTTATGTTGGATTTGCACGAAGCGTCCAGAAAGTTTTTATTAAGATCGGCTCAGAAACAAAGCTTTTGTAGCTGGAAAGGATTCACGAACTCTCCGGGTTCTATCTGAAGATGACGTAAAAATGATCCAGTTTTTTTTAAACATCGGTGAGTTTTTGTTCTTATTTTGAGCCCGTTGGATCTCACTGGGCTGCGACTGCCAGACGCTCGAAATCACCAGAAAAATCATCAAATCGTCCGTTTTAGCTCAGCTTCAGGTTCTGACCCGCGGCCGGTTGCGTGCTCACATCTAGCAGAGCTGTTGTAAACCGTGCACGTTGCCATCCATCCTCTGGTTCTGGACTCGAGGTCCAGACATCTCTCCACAGCCTCCTCTTCCAGCTTCAAAGGACGGTCCTGATGCTGCTGGACAGACGTCAGATGTTTGTTTTGATCTCATTTGTCTTGTTTTTGTGTGTTTGTCTCCAGGCGGGGGCCGAGATCTCCACGGTGAACCCGGAGCAGTACTCCAAAAGATTCTACGAGTTCATGTCCAACATCTTGTTATAGACTCATCCTCCAGTTGTCGTGTCCAACGTCTCTCCTCTGTGTCCCGTCTTTGTACAAACAAGCGTCCAGTTTGGTCCCCTGAAGGAGGGACGAGTCGAGCCTGTTACACCCCCCACCCCCCACCCCCCTCCTGGTTTTTGGACCCGTCCCTTCTGTGTCCGCCTCGTCGCTCCTCACGCCAGCACGAACTGTCTCACTAATGCCTTGAACCAGTTTCAGCTTCAGCAGCTTCCGGTCCGTCACCAGAGTCTCCTCGGTTTTTATTTTCAGTCCACACAGAAGCCGAACAGCCCGAATGCACGGCGGCCGCAGGATTCAAACCCGCCACCTGCCGGGAAGTTGGGGATTAACACATTAATACGTGACTAACAGTGATTAACGAACGCAGACGTGAAAATGCATGGCTGCCGCCTCGTCGAACCACTGAAGCATCCGAGTGTTAAACAAACGTCGATGTTCGAATGTTGCCACAACGTTTCTGGATGTCTTCAACTTTCCACCACCGGTGGACGTTGGAGTGAAAAAAATAAAGGTTTCATGTTTTGGGGGGGTGGGGGGTGTTCTGCAGCAAATACCTGTTTTATTACCATAAGGATCATTTTTATATCTTGTTTACATTAATGTAGCAATTTTGTGTTTGTATACAGTATTGTTTTGTTACCAACAGACATTAGGAAAAAAAGGTTACTTGAAAATGATTCATTGCAAAATAATAAAGGGAGTTTTATCTCGTTCAGTCGACGTGTTTTTTATTCACTAAATAATATACTAAAACCAATGATAAAATCTGTGATAAAATCAACTAAAATCTGTGATAAAATCAACTAAAATCAATGATACAATCAACTAAATGAACTCTTCTGAAGGACTTTACTGAAATTAGCTGAAAAAGGTCAAGTTGAGCTAAAAAAGCAAAAACAACTAAAGCAGGTTTGTTGAACTGGCGGCCCGCGGGCCACTTCGGCCCACAGGTGACTTTAGTCTGGCCCAATGAGTTCATTTAAATTTTATTGCTTTCTGTTTATTGCATTTATGAATCAATGCAACAAAATACATTTTAAAGGTAACAGATTGTAATAGTTTATTTATATGACTAGGCCTGTTGCAATAAATCAATCGCATGATAAATGAAAATTAACCTCATTTTCATTTATCGGCTTGATCGTTTCTTCGTGTCGCTCTTTCTACTGAAGACACTGGATGACAAAAGGCTCAACTCCGCTGCTCTTCACTGACCTTTCTATTTTCTCATTAAAATCTGTTTTATCCGTACAAAATCGCATTTTTAGATCGTTAAAAGCAGCTAAGCTGAGAAGCTAAGCTAATAGGATGACCTCGAGGAAAAAAACTGTTTTGTCGAGACTCCAAAATTCACGGTTGAAACCAGTGCCTTCGTGTAAAAAGTAGTTTATTCCTCTGCAAAAAGAAGCTGAGAACTTGTTTACTGATTTTTTTTATTAAAAGCTTTGTGTGGTAAAATGCTATGATCACAGAGCGTCCGCCATTTTGAGAACTGAAGAGAGACAGCCCATGTCATGTCAAGGGGCCTCCCTCCCATTTTTCTTAGACACACTGCTCACTCCCTCACTATCCATCCTTCAGTTTAAACAGTATACTGCCATCTTGTGGTCAAAAACAGGTACTGCATGCAAAACTAATCAACATTTCTTCTTAAAATTGACAATTATTAACTATTGTCAAATTTCAAACAATATTATCGTTTATCACAATAATTTCCGAGACAATCGCCCAGCAAAATTTGTTATCGTGACAGGACTAATAATGACTTTTAATGACTGGATGTCCGGCCCCTGAGCTGCTGGCTTTCAGTAAATGTGCCCCCCTGAACAGTTTAGTTGAATAGCCCTGAACTAAATGGTTACATTTAGCAAAACAGCTGAAAACTGGAAGCAACCGAAGGCAGATTGTGGCTGGTTAAAATTAGCACTGCAGCTAAAAGTAGTAATAGGCTAGCCAAACGCAAACAAAAAAATAGCCAACCCCTGCTAAAAGCAGTGGAATCGCAGATAAATGTGCAAAAGAGTAGCTAGACATGGCAAAAGGCAAGCTAAAAGTAGAATAGCAGCTAAAATTTTCTAGAGTAGCTAAAAGCCAAAATGCAGCTACACATTGTCAAAACTGAAAAGTAGCAAAGCGCCGGCTAAAAGCAGCAGAAAATGGTAAGAGACCAGCCGTAAGGTATGAGCAGCAAAATACCAAAGTGGGGGAGTGGTGGCACAGAATGTGCTGGGTGGGTTGCTGGTTCAACTCCCGGACAGACAACATCCAACGTGGGTGGAAAAAGTGAAACACCCACACCTGCCTCCACCCTCATTTGCCCCACTCTGGGCCCTTGGGCAAGGCCCTTAACCCCCATCTGCTTCCCGGGCGCCCTAGAGGCAGCTCTCTGCTCCACATGTTTTCACATGTGCAATGGTAAAAATGCAGATAATTAATTCCTCTATTGGGGATTAATAGAGAACAATAAATAAAAAAGTAAAAGTAGCTGAACCTTAGCTTAAAGCGGATCAAGCCTTCAGTAAATATACAGTACCGTGTAGTCGTTTGCTTTTTATTCCACCTGCAGGTTCTATTTTTTTTTTTTACATTTATCTTAAAAACTTTCCAAAGTGTTAAAAATAAAAAAACATTTAAAATGAGACGAGCGCCGTCGTTTCAGAAAATCTTCACGCTTTTTATCCTTTGAGCTCATTTTTATTTATTGAACAGTAGCAGTTAGAAAAAGTCACAGAAGATGATTTTTTTTATTTTATTTATTTACACAAATATGTTTAGTCCATTCGGGCTTTCAGGGTCCGGGTGGTGATCTTGTCCTTCTCACTGCAACAGAAAAACAAAATTCACGTCAAACGTCACGAAAGGAGAAAAGACGCCTCCGGTTCGAAGCGGACCCGAACGCAACGAAGCGCTTCACTCACATCACGTGAACGACGACCCCCATGCCGGAGACGGCGTCGCGGTCGACGGCGTTCAGCATCGCCTGCGAGATGGTCTCGAACAAGTCCTCTGGCCCCTGCAAGACCCCCAGAGACGTTCTCAAACTCACCATGCAGCAGAAGTGTGTGTGTGTGTGTGGGGGGGCGCACTCTAAAGATAAATTTGTGCTTTTTTGCAGTTAAAATTAGGATTAATCTGTTTATTCAGTAATTCTGCTTCAATCTGCCTCCCGGGTGCCTTCAGTAGCTGCCCACTGCGCCACCTGGTGGTGAATGGGTTAAATGCAGAGGATGACAACACAAAACATTATTATTATTATTAATAATAATATTAGTTGATCTAAGCTGATTGAAATATTTCATTTGATTAAACTTAAGTCTATGATGTGTTTAAACACAGAAGGTTTTTAAGCTCGGGTCCTTTAACTCTTTATAACATAACTTGTATAAATAAAGGTTGAATGAAAATAACATTTAAAACTTTGACAAAAAGTTCCTGCGGGGAAAATAAATAAATCACCATCTTACATTACTACTAAAAATATGCTTTTATTTTTTTATCCACGAGACATAAAAATATCAACTTCAAATTACGCTTTTTTTTTTTAAACCCTATAAGGGTTTATTTAAACTTTAGCTTTGTTTTTATTTATTTATTGGGGGGTGGGGAAGACAGAAAGAAGGGCGTTTTCCTCCATTAGTATGCACCAACATGATTTTTTGACCATTTCTTAATTAATCCAGCCAAAGATGAGGCCTGGAGGTTATTTTATAATCTCTTCTTTTTTCCTGAAACTACTTGATACCAGATTCTGTTTCATTTTTTCTTTTACTGACCCGGATGGATAACCAGCTGCTGCAGACGTCCTGATTTCAGTCGAGCTCACACGAGTCGGCTGAGCGTCTGATCTTTCAGCTTGCTGCACGTGGAACTGCTTTTTTGAACTAAACGTTTACTTGCATGCGTGTTTTTGCTCTTTACAACCAAACAAAAACAGTTTAGCTGGAGGAGGTGAGAGCTGCAGCTCAGCAGCAACGTCCAGCCGGGACAGACGTATCTCCTCTGAGGTAAGTTGAAGTTCGGCCGGAAAAGTTTTACAGAAAATATAAAATGTAAAAAAATAAATAAAAAAAAGCATCACAGAGTGAGCTAATATGAAATTATAGATAAAAAAAGTAAAATAAAAATAAATACTTTGATGAAAGGAACGCATTATTTTATGATAAAACTAGGGTCCAAAAAAAATGCATTTATAAAGGGATTTCATTATGGTCGTTTTTCCCCCTAAGCACCACTAGAGGGCGGTACTTTCAGTGAAACTTTATGGAAGCGTTTGAAACAGTAGACAAAAAAAAAAAAACTAGAAAGGAACGATCGTGTTTACGAACAGCACCAAAAATAAATAAAGTAAAAACAGGATGTTTTCTCCTGCACGTGAACCCGGTTCTGGGGCGAACGGTGAATACGAACCATGTCGGGCTCCCACAGAGACTCGCACATGCCGTACATCTGCTCCGAACAGGTTCCGCTTACGACGAAGTCCTCCGTCACCATGGGACAGCCGATCAGGTCCAATGAGCAGATGAACGGCTCAAAGGTTTTTGGGTTCAGTCCTGCGATCACCGGCTCGATGTAGTACGGGCCAAACCTGAGAAAAAATAAATAAAATCACAAACTTGAACTAAAGTTGTTCGCATTGATGCAGCTGCGTGACAATTTAGCCATTTTGTTCTGCCTACGAGAACGGGTTCTGCGCAAAAAAAAGCTGGCTCCTAACCTAATGCTCCTAATGCAAAAGACAAGCTAAAAGTAGCAAAATGCAAGCTAAAATTAAGAGAATTGAAACTAAAAGTAGACAAAAAAAAGCTAGCCAAAAGCAAAATTTAGAATAACACCTGCTAAAAGCAGCTGAAGTACAAACTGCAGATGTAGGTTGCAAGACTGTCCAAAAGCAGCTAAAGGTGCAAAGTCTGCTAAGAGTAACAGAACTGCAGCTAAAAGTAGCAAAAGGCAGCATGAAAGTAGCACAACTGCAGCTAAATGCTAGATAAAAGCAGCAGAACTGCTGTTAAACTTTGCAAAAGGCCAAAAGGTAGCAAAAAGCTTGTGAAACGTTAGCTAACAGTAGCAGAACTTCAACTGAAAGAAAGTGGATCTACTTCAGAACATAAATGTGACCAAGCCTTCAGGAAATATTCAGTAGCGTAAAATCCTGTTTGTCTTTCTTTTACTGGAGGTTTAATTAAATTTTCATTTATTTTCAAAACTCTTTGAAAGAAAAACGTTTGAATTCTGCTTCGACGCTCGCTTCAGGTTTTATAAACGGCCAGAGGGCGCTTCAAGACGGCCGTTCCATAGAACTGCTCGATGGACGAGTCCACGGACTCTCGGTTCTACTCGCCTCCTCTCGTACAGCAGGTTGGACACCATGCTCATGAAGGTCTTGGGTTTGATCTGACGACCCTCCTTCAGCTCATACAGGTTCAGTCTGAATTTAAGCCTCTGGGATCTGAACACAAAAAAAATCATCCAAAATGTCAGTTATGTTGCAATAAGATGTTTACAATTTCTCGATGCTTTTATAAACAAATATTGACGCAGGTTGAGCTAAAATGCTTCCCTACAGTTAGTTAGTGGCCGCCGGACACACTCACACTGTCTGAACATCAGTGGCCAGACCGGCCAGACCGATGTACAGCCTCTCCCCCATGGGGAAGATCTTCTGGAAGTCTGTAGAGACCATCTGAGCTTGAATGCCGAACCTTCGGTCTGCAGCGATCGCCACACAGTTCTTCCCCCGCATGGCCATGACAGCGCCCCCGTTATACGACATGATAGACTGAAAAAAACAAAGATTACAAGTAAAATTAAACCACAAAATGAGAGGAAAACATGCAGAGTTATCCATCCTTTCTTCATCTTTTCTTTCCAAACAGCCAGATCTTCATCTTTAAAAAGGAGCAACTTTTCTCCACGTCTTCTTTGGACTTTAGCGGATTATTTTCCTACTGAGACCAAAACTCTTTCTCACATAAAAGACTTATAAACTCAACTGATTAACCAGTGGTGTGTATAAATACAAAACAAAGAAACAACAAAAAAAGAGACATTTAGATTATTTTTTCTTATGAAAATCTGTCAACTTTTGGAGCAAAACAGATTAATATGAAGGGCTGCTTAAGAGTTTTACAGTTATGTGCTAATTGTGTTTATGAAAGATTAAAGTGATTTTATCAAACATTTAGCTGGTTAAAAATGAAAACATGCATTTAATAGGATTTTACATTTTATCTTTTAAAAATAAAGTCATATCAGTAGGGTGAATTTTTTCATGATATATGTGTTTATTTAAAATAAATTAATGTATTAAAAACTGATTTTACCATATAAAGCTCGTTTTATTGACTAATAACCGAATAGCATATGTCTGGTGTTTTAATCTTTTCTACCACTAAATATTAAATAAAACATTATAAGGCACAACATATAGTTTAAAAATATAAAATAGAAATTATGATTTAAAATACTTTTCTTGCAGTCATGAACGGTAGCAGACTTAGCATGTATGCTAACGATCGTTAGCTTAATTAGCTCTTGATGCCACACTTTAACAAAAAACACCTCAAACATTTGTTAGAATAATTTGTTATCATACCATTTTGAAGATGTTGTTGTAAACTTATCTCTAGTTGTAAAATTAAAAATCCTTCTTTGTTAATCGGTTAGCTGTCAGCTTCCCACAGTGACTACACGATTTAGAAACACAAAGATCAGACAAGCTGGGGGTTTCTACGTCATCAAGGTGCGTCAATATGATTGGCCTATATGAAGTGAGTCTATCTGTGATTGGCTGACGGGAAATCAGCCCGTCTGTGATTGGATAATGATGCCGGCATAGTTTGGTTGAGGAGTGTGGAAGCGAAATTAAAACCTTTATTAAAAAAAAAGAGGTGACAATTTGTGGGTAGCAGTATAGTTTCATGCCAAGGAATGTTCTTGTTCTTATTTAAGAACAAGAATTATAATCCTGAAAAAAAAAAATAATAACAATTTACAGTGCATCATCAACAAAGTTCTTAGGTGTCTATATTAATGAGAAACATTGTTTTACGATTCATTGTGAATCGGTGTGTAAGATTTCAAAATCTTCAGGTATTATAAAAAAGGTTAAACCCTATTTAAAAACAAGTACTTTATTAACCTTGTACAATAGTTTAATTTATACCCACATTTCTTATTGTAAATTAATTTGATGTAGTGCATATCCTTCTTACTTACAGTCAGTCCATGAACTTAAAATATCTTGTGTAAGAATTGTCACTAACTCTCCACATTTAGCTCCATCCACACCTCTGTTTAAAAAAAAAAAAAGAATTTCTTAGAATTTATGACGTGAATAAGTATCAAACAGGAATCTTGATGTATAAAGTTATATGTATTCCATTATCTTTACCTAAATAGTTTCATAATTTCTTTGAGTTTAATTCTTATTATCGTTCATACTCTACAAGGAGGAGGTATGATTTACATTTCCTCTTCTGCAGAACCACTGTTGCTAAAGTTTCATTCATGCATCAAGGTGTTCTGCTGTGGAACAGTTTATAACAACCAAGTGAATCATGTACAACATTATCTGTATTTAAAAGAAAGTCGAAACAAAGTTTATAGATTTTTTTAAATACATTTGTTTAATTTTTTATTATTATTCTAATATTTTTGGTCAATTTAAATGTATTATGAACTATTATCTATTGCTTTGGTGTGTATTTGTGTTTAAAGTAAGATGTAAGCTTATGTATAAAGCTTTTATATACATTTTTCTTAATTTTATTAAGGGGGGGGGGGGGCTGCTTGTAAGCCCATTTTGGGGTTTTATGACCTCTCCTGTACATTTTTAAAAATATTTTCCTTTCTGTGTATTGCTTTTGTGCAAACAATAAAAATGAAAAAAAGAGCATCACAGATATCATCTTTGCTTTGAGGATGCTGATGGAGAAGTAGAGGGTCAGAAAGAACTCCATTGTCTTTAGAAAAAGCATTTGACAAGGGGCCGAGGGAGGTGAGGAAATCTTGAGTGGCAGAGAAGTAACTTTATTTCCCAGTTGTTCAACCTGTGCTGCACCTCTGATGAGCTCATTCCTATCTTAGCCATCCTTGTCACTCCTAAGAAGAACCTCAACATCTTCATTTCTGCCACTTCCAGTTCTGTCTCCTGTCTTTTTGTCCACGTCATTGTCTCCAGACCAGACAACATACAGTAGCTGGCCTGTATCAGTCTAGATGGTTTGGACATGTCCAGAGGAGGGACAGTGGGTATACTGGTAGAAGGATGGTAGAAATGCAGCTGCCAAGAAAAAGATAAAGCGGCGATATATGGATGCAAAAAGGACATGGGAGGTAGTTGGAGTGAGGACAGAGTGAGATGGAGGAGGACTCTCTGTGGAGACCCCTGAAGAGGGAACAGCTGAAAGAAGAAATCCAGGTTAATGACAAATGTCATAAAACTGAGCATCAGTAGTTAGAATCCAAACATAAACAAATAATAAAGAAAGCTCAAAAAAGTTTTTTTTTTAATTGTATTTAATCTTGTTCAAAGGTCATATATTACAAAAACCATCTGTTCAAAACAAATTCTGTAAACTCAACAACAAACTGTACAAAGAACAAATCAAGTCTATAAAAGCTTTTTGACGCGGCGAGGACAAACTGGTAATCTTTAAGCTTTATTCTGAAAAACAAATATCTGTTTTCAAAATAAAAGCCACAGACGGAGTCGCATCATCCGTTCATCCGAGACTAAACGTTTGAAAGAAGACGAAGATCGGAACAAACTAGTTCCGCTTCATGAAGTTGTCAAGGGAGGCCGGCGTTCTCTGGATGGAGTGGATGTTTCTCTTCACGCGGTCCTCCAACGAGGAGCTCGCGGCGCTTTCCAGCTTCATGTCGCTGCAGGAAGAGGGAGAGTCGGGTCAGAACTGAGCTTTGAAGGTAAAACATGAGTCTGGCTGAACTTACTGGATGAATCCAGCGTGTCGGTCGCGTTTGACGTTGTGCTCCCGCTGCTTCTCCTGCTCGTCCTGCCTCTTGTACCTCCTCACGTTGTTCTCCCGGTCCTCCTCTCGCTGCTTAGCCTGGCTCATCATCTCACGTCTCTTCTTCTCCAGGTCCTCCGCAGAAAGCTTCCTACATCAAACACAGCAGAAGTTTAGTGAATAGAAAATAAAAGCCCCCAGAGGTTTATCTGAGGAGTGCTGTGAGCTTTTACTTTGACACGTGGTTCCTCTGTCGGTGGTACCACTGTGGACTGGGAGCCCTGGGCTCCACCTTCCTCTCAGCCCTGTGTGAGGACGAGCGGCCGTCCTTGTGGTTCCGGGGAGGAGATCGTGACCGGCTCCTCTCTCTGCGGCCCGAGTGACTCGACGCCGCCGGGGCCTGCTGATGTCTGCCGGCAGGAAGCTGCGAGGAAACGCTGAACGGTTAGGATTCACCATTTAGGGTTGGTGAACTAGTCAACTTCAAAAAACAATCCAAACACTGAGAATCTGAGCTTTTTTATTTAATAAACTTAAAAAACAGAGAGTTGGTCAAATTGAGATTTTATGATTATGACGGTAAAACAGTAGAAATTAAACTTATAGCTAATATTTTTTAGACAAAATCTCCAAAGTTATGAAGTGAAAATACTAATTTCCTCATCAGTCAGTAATAAGCTTTGTATTTGTATCATATTCCTTTGTGGTATTACTGTGTCCTATTTGTGTAATTAAAATAACTGAAGCACACACTTCCTGTTTATTTCATTGAAAATCTTTTTTTTTAAACCAGAAATGTTCTGAAAAGCGACAAAAGCTCACCGACCTGCAGGCCGTATCCTGGAAGATGATGAGATCTCGTGTCTGTGGACTCGTCTCTCGAGTGTGACCTGAAGACGGATCCATTAAAATATTCATCAAACAAATAAATTAATTTAAAAACGGAGTAAAACTTTAAACTCCCTCTAACCTGTGTTTGTCCTCTTCGTCGTCTGAGCTCGAACTTGAACTCCTCCTCTTGTGCTTCTTTTCTTTTCTCTCTTTCTTCTCCTTCTTTTCCTTCTTCCTCTTCTTTTTCTTGTCTTTTTCAAGATTTTGCCGCAGCTGTTGGAGAAAAAAAAAAAAAACACAACTGATTAGTAATAATAGTATGACTTTAAAGTTTTTAATTTTTTTTTTTGAAGTTTTTGTTTGTGCTGATCCAAAAAAACAAGAGATTATCACCATTTCCTTGATTTTCTTCATTTTTACGGGATTAGTGAGAACTTCTCTCTTCTTTTCTTCCTCACGTTTCCTTCAGAACAAAAATAAAACAAGTAAATTATTAGTAAACGCTTTTAGATCAGAAGCTACAGGACAAAGGTGGATGTACGAACCGGATCTGGAACAAGGGGTCCTCCCTGATCTTAGAAGCCAGATCGAGGCCGGAAGCGGGGGTGGTGGGGTTGAAAATGGACCCTGGCAGGAGGCCCGTCTCAGCTGACGGCCCGCTCTCTGGTTCCTCGTACTGATCAGTGATTTGCTTGTCGATGGGGCGCCCCAGCAGATACTCATCTCTGGACACCTGACCAGCAGGACCCTGGTACATCCAGTCCAGGCGATCGTCTCTTTTCCTGTCAGGAGAAACAAACAAATTAACTTGAGGTGTGACGTTAAAAGCAGCAAAATGACCTTCTTCAAAACGTGTGGGAAAACCGACTTGATGGCACCGGTTTCCTCTGCATATCTGGTCATTTCTTCTCGGGCTCGTTCGTTCTTCAGCTCCTTCTGGAGCTCCTCGATCTTCTTGCGTTCAGCTTCATGTTTCTGCTCAGCTTTCCAAACTCGCTCGATGTTTTTCATAGTCTGGGGATGCCAGCTCTTTTTTAAGTTCTGGAAACAAAACAAAAAAAAGGTATTAAGCAGCTGTTTAACCTGGAGAAATGATGAAAGAATACTATAATCTAATAGTGACACTTTTATCAACATCTTCATGCGTTATTTCACTTTAAAAACAGAGTTCATAAAGCATCTTGCTAGTTTCTGAAAACACGTATAGCGATTAAAATGTCAAACAGAAATATCTAAAGTTAAATTTAGTGTAGCCGAACTTAAGTACTGATAATAAAAGTTCTAAAAGGTGCTCGCTTCTATAGTAAATCATGTACAAGCCACTGATTAAGAGGAAAAGTTTTAAAAAACATAATTTCAACGATTAGCATTAGCTTTGAACACAGGGATACAAACACATTTCATAGCGATCGAACTCACCAGATCTCCGCCTCCCATCTTGAAATATAATTTGTATTTCAACAATAAAATGAAATAGGAATGGATAAATTGGTCCTTTAAAGAAATAATAAAGTAAATCGACAACAGATATACTCCAACTAGAAAATGGAGTCAGCGTAGCTTTTAATTTTATACGTCACTTCCGGGTTTTCTTCTTCGTGAGGTTAAAAGCAGTTTGCAAACTGTATTTTAGGTGATTTACCACCTCTAACTGGACTGGAGGATAGATCGTAAAAAAAAAAACAAAAAAAAAAAACTTTCCACATTATTCCTGGACGCTCTGCCATTTTTCATCGGACATTTAATTAATTAATTGTGTATTTAATAATTTAGTTGCATATTTAATTATGTATTTCGTCATTAAATTATACATATATTTATTAATTTTATTTTGTCACATGGCTTAACTGTATAAATGATTATGGGTACAACTTCCTGTCACACAGGAAGTAGCACATAAGCGTTGGCTAACCATGGTAGCGGAGCACGGACTGTGGTTTTTAAAGTAATTTACATTCTGTTTAGCAGATAAAACACCGTTTTTGTTTTGTTTACATTTATTTAACGACCATAAAGTTTACTAAAATAGCCGTGCTGAGTTCAGGTACATGTTGTGTTCACAGCAGCACGAACAATCAGACCAAACTAAACCAGTGGCTACAACAGGAGTGTTTTGAACATGGACCCAAAACAAAAAGAAGTTGTGTCCATAATTTACGCAAAGCAGCATGGGAGCTAGGAATAAGGTGGATAATAATTATAGAATTATGATTAATTACATAATACCATACAAGTGGAACTGAATCTTTATATTAATTAGTGCATTACTGTAAAATAATTTAATGAATAGCATTTTGCGACGTATATTGTGCGAGTAACAGGCCCAATCTGGGCCACGTGTGGAAATGAAATAATATTTTGCTGAGAATACAAACCTGTCCGTCCGTCCGTCCATCCATCCATCTATCCATCATTCATCACCCACTTCTTCCTTTTCAAGTCACGGGGGTCACTGGTACCCATATCCAGCCATCACTGTACGAGAGGCGGGAGACCCCCTGGACATCCTGAGCCTGGTTCTGCTGAAGCTTTCTTCCTGTTCAAAGGAAGTTTTTCCTCTCCACTGTCTCCTTTGTGCTTGCTCAGGATGGGACACTGTGACGAAGTGAAGATTCAACAAGTCTGCTGTCTTCCTTAGATAGAGAACTTTACTAATTGGCTTTTCTACGTATGTGAATGTTTTGTACATTGCCCTGAGACAACTTCGTTGTGAACTGGTGCTATATAAATAAACTGAATTGAATTGGACATGTCTCCAGTCCATCACAGGGACACATGGAGACAAACGAAACAACCATTCACTCTCTCAGGGACAATTTAGAGTTACCAGTCAGACTAACATGCATGTTCTTGGTCTGTGGGAGGAAACCGGAGTACCCGGAGAAAACCCACGCAGCACGAAGAGAACATGCAAACTCCACCCAACAAGACCCCCCACTCCCCCCCCACAGCCGGGATTTGAACTGGCAACCTGCTCGCTGAGAGGTGGCAGCTGTAACAACTGAGTTACTGTGCCGCCCAGAATGTAACGTCAGGAAGGATATTGTTTTCAAGTTGCAGCATAAATTTTCTATATCGTACAATGAATTTCCTCATTTAAAAATAATTTTTTTTAGAAAAAAAACAACAAAAAGAGAAAATTGCCAAAAAAATAACGTTAAAACTTTAGAAAGATTTGGAAGTGTTCCCTTGAGAATCATAGAAAATAACTATTTTATGAGAAAAGTAACAAAAAAAAGATTTTTTTACAAATTTTTTTGTTAAATGTTATCGTGATTGACGTCATTTTCTTCTAAGATAAAGAAGTTCCCCTCGCCACACACTTAGAAAATTTCCATTATGGAATTTAGGTATTTTTTATATTTTCTGATTCATATTTCTCCTTTTTGTTTTGTTTCTAATAATTAAAATGTGGCAAAAGCCCGATGTGTGCAGCACTGCCGAGCACTGAGCTCACAGGACGTAAAACATCTTGCTTAGTTTTAACAGGAAAAATGGAAAATGTTATTGAAGTTTATTTGTTTAAAAATCAGCACATTGACCTTTTTATAGTCAAAGGCATAAAATAAAAATTAAAAAAATCAGGCATTGCAACCCCAAATAGTTTCATAGCCATGTCCTTTACACTAGCTTTAAAAAAAATAATTTACTGTACAAACATATTTGTAAATTATTTTTATTGTTTCACGTGAGCACAAAGTGAAACGTTGCCGAGTGTCTGAACGTCTGCAGAGCAGCAGAAACATTCTTTAGATTCGGTGTCTCGCAACAAACAGGAAGTAGGCCTGAAACTATTTAGACCACAATGCATTGCAAACTAACTTTGATATCATTAGTAAAATATAAAAATGAACGGTTTATCTTTTTGATGTAAATAGGTTTACGACGCTCAACCTTTTTTTTTTCATTAATAAAACTTGAGCTGATTTACAGTCAAAGCTCTGTTGAAGTGACAACATTCAGATTTTTCTGCTTTTAAACACGTCGTAGATTGAGTTCGTATTTTAATCGGTCGTACAATTTTGAGATTATGCATAAAAAAACACGAACATGAGAAATGCACGACTCAATATTATCAGATTATCAGATTTTAAACATAAGCAGCACTAATGAAATCTTCTGGTGTTTGGAAATGCATGCCCTCTGGCATCCACCGGGGTGCTGCAGCACCTTCTGTACCTTTAGTTCCCACGGCCATGTCAGAGCACTGGAATTAAACTCTTTGTTTTTATCTTTTTTCCAATAAATTAAGATCTGTGGCAAAATCTGAGAAGAAACAACCAACTGAGGAGCTCTTAAATATTCTCTGAACAATATATTCTCTAAATTCTACTTAGGGTTATCTTTTAATTGTATATTTTGCCAGCAGCGATTAAGAGCTTTTGGAATGGTCAGATTAACTCATTGATTCAAAGAGTTTTATTATAAACCAAAACAAGAATAATGCATCTGAAAAAAATCTAAAATCTGACTCCATATCTGTTCAGTACTTTTTAAAATGATCTTGCAACGAACAGATAAAACAAACCCACTTAACATTGTTAATTCTTCTTTTATTCTTATTATATTTAGCAGTTCTGCGAATAATTATAAAATGTAAATAAAAGTCAGAGAATAAACAGCATATTTTAAAATTATTTCTTTAATTGCTAAAGAACAATCATAGATTAAATACAAGTTCTTACACACGTTTAAGTTATTTTATTACAAATTCAACAACTACGATGTTTACTACAACGACCAATAAAAATTATGTTCTAGAAAATGAAACATCTATAACAGCAAACGATAATAATACTAGTCAATAAACAACAATTGACTAAAGGTGAAGCACTCTTCAGTTTCTTTTCTATTCAAAAACACAAATTATGAGCTTCCTAAAAACCTGCCAGAAGTTTGTGACATTTTCACACATCCTAATAATTGTGCTGATAATTATGAAGCTGCTCAAACGGCCTACTGCAGATCTATTGATTAGAAAGTATCAATAATGACGGTTAACTCAAAACGAGGAACCTAAATTATTTCTGATCCCCATGTTGTTTTTTTAGACATGATTTTCAGTGAAAAATGACCAAACTGCAGCTGCATACTAGAAACTCTGTTTTTGTTAGTTTTTAATAATATTTGAAAAAATGTGTAAAGTGAATTAGATGCTTTAAATCTTTATTAACTTGATCCTTTCCCCCTACAGAGGGCAGCAGAGCTGTAAAAGTGACATTTGAAAGGGATCATTCAAAGAAAAGGTTATAAACACCAAATATCTTACTCTCTCCTGACACTTTTTCCGTTTAAAAATCAAAGATTGCAGAAAAATTCAAACTGAAATTTCTTGACTTCAAGTTGTCATGAGAAGTCTGGACTAAATAAATTATGCAAAGTTTCCTAGTAAAATGAGAAGTAATAAACACTTTTAAAATACCATCTTTGGGGCCACATTAGACGCTAACAAGGCCTCGGGCCTGGAGTTTGACAAGTGAGAAACAGAATGTAAAGGTTTTAAAACAGTGTTCGCTATTCTTTTTCATATTTTACAGTGTTTAAACTGCTATAAAATAAATAAAAAACAAATAAAAAACTTTTTTTACAGAAATAAAAATCTACTTCCGAAGTGGCTACTGTAGCAAACACGGTTTGAGCAAATCCACTTACAAATTAAATTTCTAACGTCACATTTTTTTGAAAATTTCACGAGCTTTTGCAAGCGCTAGTGAAGAAACCTTTCGTGCTAACTGTTTCACTTTGCATATGCTAATCCTGAACCGTTACCGCTAACCAGCTGTAAGCTAGCTGTTTGGAAATATCCACATAGTTCTGTGTAAAAAGAGTAATATGCAAGTGAATGCAACGTAAAGCTTTATAAACAACACAAGTTATATTTTTATATATTAAATCATTTGAACTTCCTTAAAAACTTTGAATTTTACAGGAGCTGTTAAGACGACAAATCTGTTTTGGAAGTGGCTGTCAAAAGGTTCAAGCAAAGCAGTTTCTTAATTTTTAACATTTTATACCAGTTTAAACAATTGCTGATGTATAAACCTTCACATGCCAACAATTGCATGTTACACAAGCATTTCAGCAGTAATGTTTTATTTCTATGAGAAGTGCCCCTAAACTGCAGCAAAAGCATTACAACTAGTTGTTAGCTAGCTGCTAGGTGTTAGCTAGCTGCTAGGTGTTAGCTAGTTGCTAGGTGTTAGCTAGTTGCTAGGTGTTAGCTAGCTGCTAGGTGTTAGCTAGTTGCTAGATGTTAACTAGCTGCTGGGCATTAGCTAGCTGTTGGGCATTAGCTAGCTGCTAGGTCTTAGCTAGCTGCTAGGAAAAAGTTAGTTG